ATTAAAATTAATAATTAAAAATTAAAATTACCAACTTACTAAATATCAAATTTTAAATAAATGCTTAAAATTTCAAACTTAATTAAATTTATAAATTAATATAGTTGTAGTTTTGAGTTTTAAATAATTAAAATTAATAATTAAAAATTAAAATTACCAACTTACTAAATATCAAATTTTAAAATAAATGCTTAAAATTTCAAACTTAATTAAATTTATAAAATTACTTAATTTTATTTTTAAATTTAAAAATTTTTAAAATTAAAAATTAAAATTTCAAAACTATAATTATATTAAAAAGTGTTTTAAACAAACTAGAAGAAAAAATGAAACTCGTGGGGGAAAAAAAAAGTAACATTTAAGATAACATATGTAACATCAGGACAAAGCGATTGTGGAGAAAATCTATGATTGGATACACATTTTGATATTTATCTTTTGCCGTTAAACCTATAGAACAAGTCCATGGTGGATACACATTTTTAAAAGAACTGATTGATTGCGACACCCCCTGTTTAGTCTTTTCGGCCAAACGTGCAAGCAGACGTAGAAGTGACTAGGATTTTATTCCTTGATTGCTTCTTCGTTGCTCTCCTTGCATACCAAGCAACGCCTGAACATTGACTATGCATTTTACTTCTAATAGCAGATGCCAACCATACAACTCAGAATTAACCTCTATAATGGTAACTAAAGTATTACCATCAAAATTGCCACTCCAAATTTAAAATGACTTTTTTTTTTTTGTGTATTTTTAATATTTTGGCCATGCATGATAATTTTTAACATGATGATGTTATAGAAATAATACTTTTATATAATTTTTTATATAATTTTTATATATTATTAGGTAAATAGATGTATTTAATATTATAAATTTTATATAAATAAAAAAATAATTATTTAAATAATACATCAGATTATATAAAAAAATAATATAAAATGTTATTTTTAAATTATTTTTTTAAAAATATTTTATAATTTAAATTATTTTAAATTATAAAATATTAAATTTTTGATTAAAAAAATAACTCTTTAATATTAAAGATTTTCTCTTATTAAAAGATTTTTATTTTATAATTTAAAACAATTTGAGTTATAATTTATTAAAAATAAAAATATCTTTTCAAACCTTGAATTGAGACTGAAAACATGAGAAGCCATTTTTTATGCAATAATATTGAAAATCACCCACATGATGTGAACAAATCATTAGCCAAAATTTCCATCCATGCATGGATGGGTGCATGCATGCAATATTGATCCATGGTCTGCCTGGCAACAAGTGTCAAACGTGGTCCACACAATTGGATCATGATACACACACATACTCGCCGATTTGTCACCAGATATCATGTGAACACCTGTTCCTTTCAATTTTTTTGTTTTTTTAGTGAATCTGAGTCACATATTTTGATTTTCTTTTAACAAACCCCGCACCAAGTTGTCGAGCAACAACATCTTCATGTCCCATTTTCAAAAAAAACATCTTCATGTCCCAACTTAGAATCAATCAGTCACATACAAGACAACTTGTCGAGATAACCCCATTATGTCATGACACGTGCCCACATAACGACGTCCATCCATCAAGATCATCATGTACCTCAAATATATTAATTATAAGATATAAAAACCATATAATAAAATTTAAAATATTAATTAGTATGTTTTTAATTTAATATATTACATAATATATTTATTAAAAAATTATTTTTTAATTTAAAATTAAAAATAAATAAATTTAAAAATATAACTATATATACTGTATATATTTATATTCAATTTTAATAATTGAATCAAACAAATATAAAAAAATGTGTCAAACTAATTAGTATATTAATAATTTTTTTAAAAATCTAATTATATTTAATTATATTGGCATCAAGAACAAGGGCTGCTGTAAAAGGATGGCCCCCCAACATTGACATGCGTTCTAGCTAGCTAGTTGCATGTTTATATTCCATTCCATGTTCTTTGATTTGATGAGATGCAATGGAATCATATTTTTAATGTAAAGTGGCAATATTGTGGTATGATGCTTGGATTAATTAGGGTTTCTAGTTGGACAAATTACACTATCTTTTTCTTAATAAATTTAATTGATTGATTCTTAGTTAAGCTTAATTAATTAAGTTGACTATTGACTCAAAGGTCCCTATCCAATTAGACACTCTGTTTTGTCGTTTTGGGACAGTGAAAATTGTCTATAGGATCAACTTTACCTAACCAAACACTCAATGCATGCCTGATTTTCCGTTCACACACTCATTTGATAAGCGGTGTATGTTTTTTTTTTAACTCAATATTCCAAATTAAACAGCAAAAACAAATTATTTTTTTAGTATATTAAAAGAAAATTTTTTTAACTCAGATTGTATTTTTTTAATGTATAAAATACAATTTAACTACTAAAATTATTAAAATCTCCTTAATGATATTATTTGCATTTATTTATTAAGAGTAATTTAATAATTTTAGTGTTAAAATTATATTTTTAATATACAATTCAAATTAAATATATAAATCTTTATCGAAAGGTATGAACTTATACTTCAAACCAATATTTTTTGAATTGTTAGATACCTACTAACTCTGCAAATTTGTTATTGGTATAACAACAAATTATTAAAAAACCAAAACTTTAGGTATATAAACATTAAACATTTAAATTCCCACAAAGTGGGACACGATTGTACGTCCTTACCCTTTGCCATTATACCATAAGCTTAATTGGCTCTTTAATTTGATGTCTATAGTTTTTGCTTTACTCATGGTTTAATTATCTGTTTGCACGTGGTTCTTGTTTCGTCCTATTTGCTTAAGACCGACTTGCAGAATGATTCTCCCACGTTCCCAAGTTAAAGAGAACAGGAAGGATCGATGGTAGATCATTAGATTAATTTGATTATAACTTAGAGCACGCTTAGATCTGTCCATAAAAAAAAAAGCATCTTTCGATTGAGAAAAATAAATGGAATGCCTTGATTTGATTGGAATGAAATATTTTCTTTCTTCTCTCTTTATTTTTCTTAATTCAAATATATTCTTAAGAATAAGATGAAAACAAATAACCATATTATGAATAGAACATGAAAATATATCTTTTTTGGAAAAAAAAAAAAGACAATGAAATGAAATTATTAAACTACAGCCAATTTCTTCAGGAGTCTTGTATGACAAACTATATGGGAATGATCCAAACACAATACATTTAAGTCTATTAATGATGAACTTTGATGGGGCCATGGTGTGAATGTGCCTATTCGTACAGGTGATGGTTTCCACTTGGGGTGGCTGTGTTGAAGATATATATGTATAACAAATATGGTTTGATTTGATAAGGCATTTTTTGCTTGAGAAATCTGACATATATGCCATGTTAGACAAAACAAAGAGAATATAAAGTCAGGTCCATGGCCACTGGCCGGTGACGTATTGCTAATTTGACACCACCACACCATGCCATACTAACCCCTGTATCATTTTTGAAATGACCTTTGCAAAAATAATTCTCTAAGATTCTCTATTACCTTCTCTTGTCAATAATGTAGGCTACCTGACGATAACCCTTCAAACCTAATATCTTAAAGTATTGATACCTTCACCTTAAACACTAAATCAAGATCACCACCCTATTATTAATTTTAAAATTTATGTTTTCATTGTTCTTCTTTCGGTATTTATAATTATAATATTTTCGTATTATTTCTCTCATGCATCTTGATCAAAAATATTATTTTTTAAAATAATTTTAAAAATATACTTCAACATTAATTAATGCATAAAAAATAATTATTTTAAATGTTAACAAATTTAAACTCTAAATATAACCTACAATACAATACAACACTTTGAACTAAATTAAACCCTTGGGTTACGCGAACCGGACTTGAGATCCAATAGTTTGCTCCAAGCCTCAAGACTTGGGTGAGGCGGAGGTCAGGGTTTTGAGTCCTATCACTGTCGTAAACTTCACCAACTTGCGACTTAATGGGCGCGCGTCTCATTTGAGCGGTGAAATGTTCATCATTTTAAAAATCTCAACCGTTAACAATTAACTTATACTAACTTTTTAACCATTACCTCTTAAAAAAAAAAAAAAAAACCCTTGGGTTACGCGAACCGCACTTGAGATCTAATAGTTTGCCCCAAGCGTCAAGACTTTGGTGAGGCGGAAGTCAGGGTTTCGAATCCTGCCACTGTCGTAAACTTCATCAACTTGCGGCTTAATGGGCGCGTGTCTCATTTGAAGGGTGGAATGTTCATCATTTTAAAAATCCTAACCCGTAACAACTAACTCATACTAACTTTTTAACCATTACCTCCTAAAAAAAAAAACCCTTGGGTTACGTTATCATTCTTTATTAAACTTGCTTGACCGATCGTTTACCTAGATCTGATAGAGCCACAAATGCACGTGATGCCAACAGATTTCACCCCCCTGAATCACAGGTCCCACGTCGAGGAAACATCATGGAAAAAATCAGGGTCATTTCCCATGGACCTTAGTAGTAGCTGACTAGCTAGCTGCGCGCCCTAACATTCCTTGTCATCCAACTTTTCTTCATATATAGCTTAGTTTAGTATAACTTGTTAGGGTACGCCATGATCCTCTTACATTCTCCACTATCAACGGTGTACATACTTCCACATGGCATCAACCCACGTTTCACCTTCATTACTAAGCAACTCCTCATTTTACACTATAAAAGGGTATGAGAGAGGGATGATGTATAATGCTATTATCGGCACCAAATTTGTTACAAAATTCACATCTCTAGAACCATACACTAAGATCAAGTAGTATATTTTTGAAATATTTTTAAAATTTTATTCCTCATTTTTTCGATATAAATTGTTTTGTAGAGTGGTGCATGTAGAGGTAGATTATTAAAGATAGAACTCAAAAGTATGCCCTCTTCTCATCAACTTCCTACCCAATTCCTTGAATTTCACAGGTTTCATTTCCCAATTTCCTCATATTGGCTTACAAGGATCAATCTCACCTTATTGCAGCTCTTCAAATTAATCCCTTTTCTTGTCCCTCAATCCAAAGGGTAGGATTTGAAAAATTGGCCGTTTAACATTACACAGATTTAAACTTCTTTGCTTGACCTCAGAATATCGAACTTCTTGATTCCTATATAATCACTGTTTTTGAAGTTGTGCGCACATATATAAACATGGGTTTGAGTTCTAAGGAGGTTTCAGGGGACGGAGGACTAGGGTGGAGCCAGGCGTTGTTGAAGGATCAGACATTGGAGCAACCAAAGTCGCCGGTGAAGCGGCAACAGCAGAACCAGTCGGAGCAGCTGAAGTGTCCGAGGTGTGATTCTACCAACACGAAGTTCTGTTACTACAACAACTACAACAAGTCACAGCCAAGGCATTTTTGCAAGGCCTGTAAGAGGCACTGGACCAAAGGTGGCACGCTCCGCAACGTCCCTGTTGGCGGCGGCCGCAAAAACAAGCGGCTCAAGACATTGAATAGTGGCGGTGGCGGCGCTGCCACTAGCGGTGCCAGTACTAGTACTGCAGCCGGAATTAGCAACATGGGATCCTCCCAATTCCAGGAACAGAGGCAGGGGAAGCATGATGATCTCCTTCCTTTTCTACTTGATGATCTAAAAAACATTTCCGATTTCAGCAATTCGGTGCTTAGTTGTCCGCCACCGTCTTTAGACTCCGGCAATGGGGTGTTCCTGGGGTCAACTTCAACCCTTCCCCTGTCTCAAAATCAAGCCCTGCATTTTCCCTTCTCGCGTTCGAGCTCGACTTCTTTTGACACAAACCCATCTTCAATATCAACTTCTTTTCAATCTCCAAATGTTTATGAAACCATGGAGGATACAACCATTACCAGCATCACCACGCCCTCTACAAGAGTAGAAATCACACGGCCGCTGTGGCAAAAACCCTGTGCAAGCAGCGCTTTCATGGACATGACAAACTACTGGAATTGGGATGATATTGATGCCCTTGTCTCTACTGATCTCAACATACCATGGGACGATTCCGAGACAAAACCATGAATAAAGGAGCAATCTTTAACAATATTAATGGAGGTTTGTTCAGTTTTCCCCTTAAATGGTGTTTCTTTTTCAGTGTCATTTCCCCCCCTAATTATAATATGTATAGTCTTCTTCATCACTGCAACATGTAACAGATGGATTGAGATGTTGACTGTTTGAAGCTGTCATTTTTCAATTTCAGCTTCCAGTTAAAGACATACATTTGTACACATCTCTCTCTTCTAAGTTAAGGGTTCATCTTTTTTATTTTTATTTTTTGAATGGAATTTGATTTGCTAGTTTTTTTCATTAATAAGTTATACAATGGGTATGGCCCTCCATATTTTCTAAGTTCGCCCACCACCTGTCTTATGGCTTGAACTTCAAACTTTTATTTTGGAGTGTGAACCTCTTACCAGTTGATTGCTGGTGAAGGCACCTGTTGGTGTGGATCAAACTTCTATTTTGGGGTGTGAACCTCTTACCAGTTGATTACTGGTGAAGGCACCTGTTGGTGTGGATGGAATATGATGAATTGAGATGGGGTCTGCACTGGCTATGCTGGGCTGATTGGATGTGATGGAAGATTCTTGTGGACATGTGTATTTACATGGATTTGTTTTTGGTTCCTCATAATTCATGGCCACTCGTTGAGAATCATTCCTTTTTCCTTGTCCTGAAACCATAATAGTTGTAAAGTGGATTTTCTTGCGTTCATTTTTCTTCTTCTTGGTCCTTTTTTCTGGCCCAGTTCACACGGTGTTTGGAGATTTGGTTGAAGGATTTTTAGTTGGTCACTGAAATCTTTGCTCAGATGTAGGGCTGCCCTCATTCTCTCAATCCATGTGCAGATTGGGGCCACAATTTCGAGACTTGGTTCCTTTGTTTTGTTATGTATTCCATTATGCATTCAGAAAACCAATTCCAAAGAATACTGTAGAATCCTTGGCCTTTTAGTAAGTGGTAATAGAGTGAACAAATACTCAATCACAAACTCAGCTAGGCGGGTACTCTAAACACCACGGTCGAACTAGTATGGAGTACAAATTAGAATGGGACTAACATCCTCTAGTAACTGAAATCATCTATAGGCTTCCCATTGTAATGCCTGTATCTCTAGCATAGGTAGCCTTTCCATCATTGGCTTTGGAGTAACTAACATAGTAAAGTTCCGAGACAATGCCTGTTAAGACAACAAAGGCAGCCCCGGCCTCAAAGACTCCCTTCCTCAATACCTGGCATGATATCTGCTGATCTGACAGGATGCCCTTGTACTTGGTGTGATAAGCATTACGCACTGACCCAGCTAGCAAGCAAACTTCGCCAATGAAAAAGAACACCCTGAAAACCAATGAAATGAGTTGTAAAGAGAATAGGAAGGTAGATGTAACAAGGTTCAGATGCTTCCAATGTCATATCAATTAAGATTTAGTGCGCTTGAAATACAAGAAAAAGAAGGTGGTTTGGATTGAAATCCTAATGTCAAGATGTAGTAGTGCTGTTAATATGGTTTTGGCGACTCATTCCTCATAATTTTCTTCATTTGCAACCCTAAATCATGCACAAGCTATTCTAAATCAAGATGGCATAATTGTGTAAATTTTCGACTCATGGCATAAGCAATAAGATCATTTAGTTGTTGTTTGAATTCAGCACACACCAGGAGGTGATAAACAGGACGATAGCCCATGCTCTAGAGCCGCTTGGTCTCATGGCCCTCCCACAGCACAAGCATCGACTTGCAGCCATTATTAGTAATTGACTAAGCAAAAGGAGCAGCAACGATCCCACACCAAAGCTGCTGGCAATGTCCTTGTCATAAACACAGTAGCTTGTATTTCCATCTTGGACAACATCAGCCTGCCTTAAGAGAAATCGAGAATATAATTAATATTCTATAAGGACTGTCAGGATGCCAGCTCTGATCTACAAAAGGAAAATGTTGACACTCCAAGTGTTTTTGTTGTGTAGGTCAAGTTAATTTTGTAATTCATTCCTGTAAGAACTGAAAAGACAGAGATCGCAAATGAAGAAACTATTACTCTTCATTTCCTTGTCTCTTTTCACTCCAATGGAGTCATAAACTAAAAGGGCCTAAACCAATTCGGTCAACTACTCGAATTTGTGCTTATCTCTAATGGCTGCACAGATATTTTGTTATAGATCATAACCTTAGCTGAACCTTATGCTCCCAAGAAACCACGTGGAAAATGACTGGAAAAGCACAAGAAGTTTCCTTTCCTCTAGGCTAGAGTATTACCAACATGCTATACAGATGACTCCATTATCATGAATCCAAGGAAGTTGTCAATTGACCATACACCAAAACAAAATTTCTCTAGTTTAGGCACCCCATGAAAACCCAATCCCATCCTTATGAAGTAGAGCAAGTTCTTCATGGATAAACACACATACTTGAAATCATGGCATTAAACAATTTTTCTGTAGTTTAGTAGTACCATGCCAATTCAAGTTCTCAAGCCAACGAAGCATGCAGGTTGATATCAGATCTACTAATAAAAAGCCAAAACGTTTCAACATAAAGACCATGCTGCTCCTAAACCCAAGAAAAAGCAGGAAAATGAAAGAAGAGCTGAAGAACAGATTGTATAGCATAGGAAAGAAAGGCAAAAGGGGAGCTTACGCTGCTCCTCCTCTGCTCAGCAGCAACAGCAAGGGCAAAAGCAATGAGATCAATCACAAAGACCGCCACCAACAGCAAAGTTGAAGCCATAATGATTGAGAAACCCACAGAGGTGAGACAACCAAATCTCACTCTCTCTTCCCAGAAAGAGATAAGAAAGCAAGCTAAGGGGGGTTTAGATAGAAGCACAGGGAGAAACAGGTGAGAAATTATTATGGAGATGTAAATGCAATAACTAGTTAATTAAATTACAAGGTTTGGTGGCTTCAAAGGTCAAAGCGCTTTTAATTAATAATGAATGTATACAAGGGACGAGATTCTCTATAAATGTCATGACAAAAAACATCAAATATTTCATATTTGTTTGTCTTCAAGTTCAAACAAACTAAGAAATATCAAATTGGGTAGACAAACACTAAGGAAAATGCAGCTCCTGATAATGAGGGTAATTCCATACATGTGCAAGTTGCACAAGATTCAATGCCTCTTCACTCTTGGACCGCCTAACCAGTTCATCCACCACATTCTGCTGCAATGACACATCAATAAGGAGCTTTCTACTGTGCCTTGTACAGATAACTTCTTTACACATCTCCTAGGCAAAATCTCCAGCACCCTTCTCAGAAATCAGCGGAACTAGCTCTAGCAGTTCAAATGCCACTTTATTAGGCAGTGGCACAAAACCATTTATTTTGATCATAACCTCTTTACACACCCCGTAGGCAAAATCTCCAGCACCCTTCTCAGAAATCAGCGGAACTAGCTTTAACAGTTCAAATGCCACTTTATCAGGATGTGCCATACGACCATTTATTTTGATCACAACCTCGAACTCAGTGGCACACATCCCCTCATTGATATAAGCTCTAATCAAAGCATTAAACTAAACGCATCAAGTTTAAGTCCTTTACTCCTTATTTCTCCAACAAGCTCAACTGCATCTTTTGTTCTTTTCTCTATCACCAATCCATGCAATCTGGCATTATAACTTCTAATATCAGGAGCTCTATTCTTCTCCACCATTCCCTTCCAATTATTCTCCCCATCGACAAACTTCCCATTATTGTAAAAAGCCTCCAGAAGCATGGTATATGTAATGAGATCTGGCTCCACACCTTTCTTCTCCATCTCAACGAGCGTCAAACTGGCTGAATCTAAAGAATCCATCTCACAAAATGCCTTTATGGCCGTGTTGTGCGAGACTATATCTGGTATGATAGATAATATCTCTGGCAACTCCTTGAAAAGCCTATTCACTTCATCAAACTTTTTTGAATTGACGCAGGGCCCCGTAAGGGCATTGAACGACAACAAACCTCCATTGGGTATTTCATCAAGCAACTTCTGAGCATCATCAAACATCCCAGATTGCCCATGTAATATGATCAGCCTTCTGGCAACCCTCCCTTGGAGACGCTTATGCATTTCTTTTGGTCTTTAAGAATTTCTTTTATACAATCAAAGTGTCCTACAGACGCAAGTCCTCGGACCATGAGCTCAAACAGATTGTCATTATTCCAGATCTTCTTGTTTTCGCATAACTTCTTGAATTTTTCAACAAAGTCCTCGACAGAACATGGAGTTAATTTCCAAATGGTCAAGTTCTACAGTAACTCCTTCACTAAAACTCGTGCAGCAGACAATTTTAGCTCATCAATACCAATTTCTGTCTGTGCAAGCTGCACAAACTTCTTTGCCTATTCAATCTTGGAACCCTTAACCAATTCATCCACCACTCGCTGCATTATAACATAGAATTAGAATCTAAGCAGATGCACTTACTGCTTAAAATCTTTTGACACATTTCAAAGGCAAAATCTACATCACCCTTCTCGCACACCAAAGGAACTAGCAGTTTAAAGATGACTTTATCCTGTTCAAAGGACAACTTCTCCTGCAATTCCTTGAAAACCCGATTCCCTTCGGAAAAACTCGTCGAATTTGGACAGGCTTTCAGGAAGCCAGCCACAGAGTACAGGCCCATCTTCTCTAGTTCTGGGTCGAACTTGTCGGTACGGTGGTCGTCGGCAGAGTTCATCCGTCTCACGGAGTCGTTGCGGCGGTCCATGTGCCCGTAGTAGTCGGAATTAGAGGTGTCCTGTCCGTTTTGACATAAGCTACTGAGTTTTTTGAGGAGGCTCTTAATGTCTCGTTCTCTAGAGGAGTGATCCTTCGTTGAGACAGAGGTGGCGGGATGTCGTGACTCTGTGCAGAGAGTGCGGAGGAGAAGACGACCGATGGATGACATCGAGAAAGTTTTCGGTGATCGGAAACAAAGGAGTTGATAAATGGCGGCTCACTCGTAACCTTATTTTAACGGTTTGTTTTTCCTGGGCCTAGGTTAGTAAGTTAGTTTTAAGGTCCATTAAAGATTTTTTTTTTTTATTCTTTGGGCTCAATCTACAGAGCACCATGGGCCCGGGCTCAGGGGACAAAGAGGCAGTAAACCCAATTAGCTTCACGAAACTCTTGGAATCTGGACAGGCTTTCAGAAAGACAGTGAACGATTCCAACCCCATCTTGCTCGTTCATCGTAGGATTTGAGGACATGTTTGTCTTCGCGAGAGTTCCTCCCATACATGCGTTCTACAGAGCTGCTGAAGCGGTGCCACCGGTTCTGCCAGTAGTAGCTATTATGGGTTCTCTTTCTGCTTTGACATAATTTCCTGAGTTTTTCGAGGAGGCTCTTGATGTCGTGCTCTCCATGGGAATGATCCTTCGTTGAGACACATGCTACGGAAGGTCGTGAGGCCGTAAAGAGGGTACGACGGAGAAGACACCAGACGGATGACATCGAGATCGTTATTGGAGATCGATAACAAGAAGTTTGCAAGCGGCGAAGGGCACAGCATTTTTTACGTTTGTTTTTCCTGGGCCTAGGTTAGTTAATTACTAGTTTTAAGGTTCATTAGAGAATTTTTATTATTTAGGATCCATCCATAGAGCCCCATGGGGCCCATGCGGAGGG